GAAAGCTGGCAGAAGTTTTTGTCAGGATCAATTCATACACACAGGAGGCTAAAGTCTGGAACATGGTCGGTAGGATAGCAGGAAAACAAGTACACACACTTCCACTCGTGGACACTCGGGGTGATACCTTGGAAGATCAGGCAAACTTCCTCGGTGCACACTTCGAACAGGTGTCCAGCTCATCTCACTATACTGACACTTTCCAAAAATACAGAACAAGAATAGAAAAGCAGAAACTTGAACACAGATGCACTAGATCCGAGGCATATAACCAAGCTTTCAGTCTAGCTGAGCTGTAAATGTCTCTAAACTCCTGCAGTACTTCTGCCCCAGGTTCTGACCGTGTGATGTATGAAATGTTAAAAACCTACCAAACGAAACCCGTAAAACCTTACTTGTTTGTACAATGCTATTTGGTCTTCTGGCACTATTCCTACCTCCTGGAAAGAGGCTATTGTTATTCCCATTTTGAAAGAGGGCAAGGACCCTTCTTTACCCTCGAGTTATAGGCCTATAGCACTTACAAGCTGCTTGTGCAAAGTCTTCGAAATAATGATAAACTGCCGACTTGTACATTTCCTTGAAACAAATAATTTGCTCGACCCATTTCAGTGCGGGTTTCGAGAAGGTAGATCCACCACAGACCACCTTGTTCGTATCGAGGCACAGATCAGAGACGCCTTCGTCCATAAACAATATTTTCTCTCTGTGTTCCTAGATATCGAAAAGGCGTATGATACAACATGGCGGTTCGGCATTCTAAGAGACCTGTCTCACCTTGGTGTGCGCGGAAGAATGTTTCATATAATCGAAAGTTACCTGTCTAGGCGGACATTCCGTGTCCGTCTGGGCAGTGTGCTTTCCCAAACATTTGTCCAGGAAACAGGCGTGCCACAAGGTGGCGTGCTTAGTTGCACACTTTTTATTATCAAAATGAACTCTTTGAACTTGTCCATTCCCCGCATTATGTTCTATTGTACATATGTCGACGACGTTCAGCTTGGCTTCAAGTCATGCAACTTGGCCATGTGTGAGCGGCAGGTTCAGCTGGGTTTAAATAAGATCTCCAAATGGGCAGATGAAAACGGATTTCGACTTAACCCACAAAAAGCACGTGTGTTTTGTTCTCTCGAAAGAGAGGCATGCACTCGGAACCTGACATTCGACTGAACGGGCAACGTCTGTCCGTCAAAGCCGAGCATAAATTCTTAGGCCTAATCTTGGACAACAAGTTGACCTTCGTGCCGTACATCAAGTATCTAAAAACAAAATGTTTAAAAGCCATGAATGTTTTAAAAGTGTTGTCACGTACTACTTGGGGTAGTGATAGGCAATGCCTCATGAACCTCTATAGAAGCCTCATTCGCACCCGCTTAGATTATGGGGCCGTTGTCTATCAGTCTGCTACTCAAAGTGCCTTGAAGATGCTGGACCTCGTGCACCATTTGGGCATCCGCCTTTCTACGGGTGCTTTTCGCACCAGCCCCGTAGAAAGCCTTTACGTTGAGTCAAATGAGTGGTCGCTTCATCTGCAAAGAACCTACATGTCCTTTGTTTATTTCCTTAAGGTGAAAGCAGACAAGAGGCACCCCTCATACTCTACTATTAATGACTTGTCGAGCTCCATTCTTTTTCAAACAGGCCTTCAATGAGGCAGCCCTTCTCAGTTCGCCTGAAGGGTCTAGCTGAGGACACTGGAGTGTCACTCGAACACAATTTAATGGCTCCTGTAGCATACCCGCCACCGTGGCAGTGGCAGACTATAGATTGCGATGTGTCTTTTTTAGAAGTTACTAAACATGCGCCTATTGCCCATATTCGAACATACTTCTTGGAACTTCAACACAAATACACACGTCCTGAGTTTTTTACAGATGCCTCTAAGTCTAACTCCTCTGTGTCCTACGCTGCAGTTGGCCCTTCCTTTTCGGATGCTGGCCCTCTACATCCAGACACAAGTATCTTCACGGCAGAAGCTTACGCGATACTTGTGGCAGCTAAACACATCAAACAATTACAAATACAAAAAGCAGTAATTTATACAGACTCCCTTAGTGTGGTAACGGCTCTGCACAGTCTTAAAAAACAAAAAAAACCCTGTCCTCATCTCACTTTACTCTATTTTATGCACACTTTACACACTCAACCAACATGTTGTAGTGTGCTGGGTGTCAGGGCATCGTGAGATTCAAGGCAACGTGATGGCGGATCAGCTTGCTGCATCCGTCCACGAGGGCACCGCCACTACACCCATATTAATCCGGCCCTTGATCTTAAGCCGTCTCTCAAACGAAACATCAGAGACTTCTGGCAGAGCAAGTGGAATACACACACACAAAACAAACTACACATTATTAAGCCACACCTTGGTCATTGGCTGCCAGTATCAAAATCGCGGTATACAGAGGTAATACTAACGAGACTCAGGATAGGACACACATACGCAACACACACACATCTTTTGTCTAGTGACGATCCACCATTGTGCGACAAATGTGGTGAAACATTAACAGTCCTTCACATACTAATCCAGTGTAAACATTTCATTACTCTACCGACAACATATACCTTCACACCCTGCAATGTTTGTCGGTAGGGAACCACTTTTTAGTCATAAATCATTGTTAGCGTTTTTAAAAGAAATTCACAGCTTTCATGTCATATACCCGGGCATACCGTAGCATGACCTCTCCAGAGAGGTTTTTGCTGCGGTGGCTACACAAGAAAGCACATGCCTCACGGCCCTTGGACGCAAGGGTTTGAACGAGTGAGGCACTTGTGCTAATGCCATACATATCCACCATCGTCTTTTATTATCACCAACTTTTGTCATCTGTTCACACCACACACACTCCACGGCATGGTCATGATTTTATTATTTGTATGTTTTTTACCCGCCTTACTGCGAGGAATTTTATGGCCCTTATACAGCCACTTATCACAATCATTGTCCATATTTTTAGTAAGATGAACTGGCGCTCTTTGGCCGTGAATCGGCCCTTGCGCCATAAAACATCAAACATCATCATCAACTGCGGCATGATGCCTTTTCCGATCATTATGTTCGTGCTTGGCCAGTGTGGTAACTAATCAGAGTGGTTGTTTGTCCGCATTATCAACAAAATTAGCTAGCCGCGAGAGATGGATGATAAGAATGGCATAGAATAATGCAAAAGTTGCCGCTGCACGATACACTGTCTCCATCTCGGCGTTCTCGGATACTTTTGACGGCGGACAGCTGCCGGTCTTAACGTGTTAATGCAACTGTGGTTTGTTCACGAAAGTGGTTTAGGCGTTGTTTCAGCATGCTTTTCACTATGGCCTTGCTATGCATGGGTGAGAATAGTGTCGTGACACTGCTAGGAAAGAATAGAAAGCAGCGGATATTTTTTGTATTTTGAGAATAAATGTTCCTTTGTTTGGTAGCTAAGATCAGCTATATTTTTTTCGATTTCACTACAATGAAATTCTCGCTTCAACAAAATTTTTTCCGTGCCCCATCAGTTTCGTTGTAGCGGGGTTCGGCATGTAGCATTAAAAAGCTTCTTTTACAGAAATTCTGGCGTCAGTGTCGGCATTGTTGGTTGTGTGCGAGAAATCGAGAATGATGCAAATAAAATTAAATAACACAAAATTGTGGGTCGGAGTGGGGATCCAACCTGGGTCGTTTGGTTCTGAGTAGGGATTGAAATACGGGTCGTTTGCATGGCAAGCATGTTCTACCACACAGCCACGTGTCTGCTTGTCAATACAGTGAAAATAACTTCCTTTGCTTGGAAATGTAGTGGAAGTAACTTTCATGCTTTACAAACACGTGCGTCCTGTATACGTGCTTCACAATACACCATGAAATATTACAGTACTAAAATTGCGTAGTACAAGCGTAGATTGCCATCAGGCGTCGGAACATGTGATTATCATAATGACTTCATGGTTTGAAGTCAATCAGCCACTACAACAGGCACATCTGTTACTGCTCCTTTTGCCTTAATGCCACATCATAGGTGCATAGCAAGGTCTAAAAGATTTCATGCACTAAGTGGTTGAAGTAGGCACTATGGACACGATATTGCTATTGCGTTCAACTCTTAAAGGCGACGCTCAAGAGTCCTGCAATTTTTCTTAATGCATCAACATTGTCTACGCCGTGAAATCCTGAGCAAGTGCCTCTCTCTCCTGTTCGGGAGATTTGAAGTAGGTGCCAGTGATCGAGCAAGCACCTCCTTCTCCCCTTCTAGCCATTTTCAAAGCATCATTTACTCTTCTTATTACCCAACGAGGACAAACAAAAAAAGCAAATGTATGCGCATTCAATAAATCATTTCGTTATGAACATGGGTGGGCATGCTTTATTCTTAGCAACCCTTTCGCCACCATCGTGAATTTTGATCTGCGATCGAGTAAGGGCCGCTCCTCCAAGTGTCTGTCAGATTATCTATCACTGTAAGGAGGTGGTGCTTGCTCAGGATATTGGTTGGTTTCTTTCTTTCTTTCACTTCTGGTGAAACATATGCAGATACCTCTCTCACAAGCAAATCTGGTATAAAAATATGCTGATTTACAGTTCCCTGCTTAACTCTGTATGGCGCACGCAACTTTTTTGCTTCTCATTTTGAATAACTAGACTACGTGCGCAGTGTCCGACATTGGGCACATGATTGCTCTATCAAGGCAGTAGCAGAAGAAAAAAATAACAGAGCAAATAAAAAAATGGTGCACTATACAGGAAAAGCAAACGTAGTGGCTGTTCTAGGCTGTGCAAACAGGCTGCTGACAAGAGGAAAAAGTGTGGCAAAAACAACTCTCATTCTTTCCTGTTCAGAAGGAAGCTCAGATTTCTATTTGTTCTATAATTTTTAGGGGGTTCCAAAGGAGCTTATCATTATTGTCAGTAAAGGAAAGAAAATGGCTGTGATTTGAAAACTTATTCTTTTGAAATGTGCATCTATGTTTTAAATGTGCGTGCTTATAGTATTCATTTGCTTTTTGTCTTCAATCAGGTCCATTGGCTGTCTGTCATAAATTCCTTGGTGCTGATCTTCTTGCTCCTGGGCTTTATCGGTGTTATCTTGGTAAGTGGGGCACGGTTTCTGTTTACTTCACACTGAATAGTCTGCTTGTGGTAGGCTTCGGTCCAGATCAGAGCCGTTCGAAATGTGTTAAAAGCAATCGATTACTTGTAATCAGCTATATTGTCTTGTACTTTTTTGTAAAATAATCGATTACTTCAAAACTGTAACAATTTGAGTAATTCAATTACACTTTTTGTAATTGATTATCAGTTGATTGATTGATTGATTGATATGTGGGTTTTAACGTCCCAAAACCACTATATGATTATGAGAGACGCCGTAGAGGAGGGCTCTGGAAATTCTACCACCTGGGGTTCTTTAACATGCACCCAAATCTGAGCACACGGGCCTACAGCATTTCTGCCTCCATCGGAAATGCAGCCGCCGCAGCCGAGATTCGATCCCGCGACCTACGAGTCAGCAGCAGAGTACCTTAGCCACTAGACCACCGGGGCGGGGTGATTGATTACCAGTAACAAGTTGTACTTTTTTTTATTCCTGAAATGAAGTTGTGAACAGCCTTCTACAGCAGTTCTCGTCTCAAAAAATATGTGACTGCTCTTTAGGGAACCCCCATCCCATCGCACGGCAAGAGTCCCTACAGAGCTGTTTCACTTTTTGATTCGCCTTACCTGCAATGCTTTACCTGAGCGCGAGCTACAGTGAAGTGTGACACTTCATAGAGAACATGGACACTGGCGTCGAAGAAGCACTGCGCAACTTTGAAGCTGGTGTGCAAGGTGTTCCTACATTATAATACCGCCCTCCCTTGCAGAACATGCGTTGTGAGTTTTCAGTGTAGCAGCCAGGAAACATAAAGGAATTGGCGAAGACAACTTTGAAAAACAACTCCTGTCCAAAGACATGTAACACTATATCGCAGAAGGAGAGAAGTGTAAATTTAAGGTACAGTAAGCTTCCCAGCCTTCACGCAAGGCTCCGGCCTTCTCTCTGCCATGGAAGCCACAGTCTTAGCTCATTGTTGTTTGGGTAAACATATGGTAATGTGTTACGGTGATTAAATGTGAAGAAAGGTAACACTACAGTAATTGGTCACATTTCTGTGATTACTCGGTTACTTCATTGAGGCTATAATTTACCACTGATATCTATTACATTTTAAATAAAGTAATTGTTATATGTAATTAGTTTATTCTATAATGTGTGCAGGTGTGGTCTTGGCTTTCATTTAAAGGGTTGGTTTGTAAAAAGAACTTGATGATCAGTTGATAGCACATCCTCCCATTGCTTATTCGTTGTAGGCATTGCTAAAACGTAGTGAATCCTCAATGTGATTGGTGGTTTCTGTTGAACCACTTTTGCTGGTTATGCACAGCACTCCCAATGCATTTTCAGGCTCCAAGGGCAGTTTGAGTGAACGAGCCTGCCTTGGTAAAGCCTGCACTGATTAAAAAGAATCTCAACAAATCATAGTTCATGCACTTGTATATGCATTCCTTTCATAAAGTCTTAATTTTCAAAGCATGAGGGTTGTTTATTGATTACAATGCACAAGATAATAGTGCCACAGGCATGGAACGAGGTTTAGCCACGCCAATGCGAGTATGTGCCATGGTGTGAAAGAAGAAGAGGACGGTTGGTGTGTGCTCGTGCTCTAATGTTCGGTTCGGCTCGACGTCCAGTGCTGCTCCTGTGAACAGACGTTGTGGTCGTTCTGTGATCACGTGACATTTTCTGGTGGAGGTGCTGGGTAGTGTTGTATGCACTGCAATCAGCAGCAAGGTCCCGACACTAGCCGCGACTTGGAAGAACCAGCTGACCTACGGCGTAGCAGGCGACAACTAGGCCTACCTCCTGAATTCGGACCATTTCCTCAACTCGGCAGTACTATGGCTAGTGCGGGAACGCAAACCCAAGAAACATCAACGCTGCCTCCTCCATGGTTCTTCAACGTCCCGCGTACTCCGAAGCCGTTCCACGGTGACCCTTATGAGGACGTCGACGACTGGCTTGACGACTACAACCGTTGCGGCAGCGTCAACGAGTGGAACGAGCAGCGAAAGCTTCGGTACGTCTACTTTTATCTCGAGGACTCTGCGCGCACTTGGTTCGAAAACCATGAAGCCACTATGACAACCTGGCCAGAGTTTTGCAACCAGTTGCGAAATACTTTCCGAAGCTCTGACCGAAAGGAGCAAGCGGAACGGCTCCTCAATTCCTGAAACCAGCGTCCGAACGAGAGTGTTGCCATGTTCGTTGAGGACATGACGCGGCTGTTCAGGCGAGCCGACTCTTCAATGACGGAAGAAAAGAAGGTGCGCCTCCTAATGCGGGGAGTGAAGGAGCAGCTGTTCGCGGGACTAGTGCGGAACCCTCCCGGCACTGTAGAGGATTTCCTTCGCGAAGCCACGACAATAGAGAGAATGCTAAGGCAGCGTTCGTACCAGTATGAACGTCCTGGCAGTCTTTCGTCAGTGTCGTCGGTCCTACAAACACCTGACGTCACGACTGTAAAAGACCTGACGGAGCTCGTGCGCAGTATTGTGCGCGAGGAGCTTCAAAAGCTGCACGTGGTGTCTTCTCCGCCCCATGTTGCTGCTTTAACGGATGTCGTTCGCGAAGAGGTCCGGCAGCTGGTGCACCCCATGACGACTCTGCGTGCAGCCGAAGTCCAACCCATGACGGCCCCGCGTCCAGCCGAAGCTCCGCTATTAACGTACGCGGAAGCACTGCGTACTCCTGCACCGGCTGTTGGCTATCCGTCCCGTCCGTCCACCCTGCAGACGGCACCGTCGTTCTACTCGGGACCACCGCAGTACGGCAACCCACCCCTTACACGGAAATCCAGTGTATGGCGTGCTCCCGACAACCGGCCTCTATGTTATCACTGTGGTGAACCAGGTCACATCTACCGTGAGTGCGCCTACAGGCACATGGGTCTTCCCGGCTTTCGTCCGGATGCTCGTCGACCCAGAGATGGTGAGCGGCCCCGTGCTATCGCCGAATACTTGGCAAGCCAACGATCCTCAACCCTTCCGCGTCGCCAATCCCGCTCACCATCTCCACGGCGTTCCACGTCACCTGGCCAACAATCAACCTTTGCGGACGTCCTTGCAGGAAGATCACCTAGATCCACAAGCCCGCGCCGGGGAAACTAAGAACAGCGACCTCTGGGGGTGAGGCCGCTGTTGATCGACCGTTACAAGACCCTCCCCCGATTTGCCTGCCGACATCCGACGACATTCTTTCACCGACGTGCGCCATCGACGACAAACAGGTCTCTGCTCGTATCTCTGTTCTTGTCGACAACCACCCGCTGACCGCTCTGGTAGATACAAGTGCCGATTATTCTGTTATAAGCGCTGACCTCGCTGCACAGCTAAGAAAGGTAACGACACCTTGGGGACATGGAACCAACCTCCGGACTGCGGGAGGTCACCTATTGACACCGCTAGGAATGTGCACTGCCCGCCTCCGAATTCGTGAGTCGACGTACATTGTTTCCTTCGTTGTATTGCGCGAATGCTCCCAAAACCTGATTCTCGGAATGGATTTTCTCCGTGAGCATGGAGCCATTATTAACCTTCGCGACCTGCTCATAACGTTATCTAACGACCATACAGCCCTACGAAAGGATGCAGTTGCGCCGACCACAACACTTAGAATTGCTGACGACACCATCGCACTGCCGCCGCGAGCCAGTATGTTCGTAACGGTGGAGAGCGACTGTGACAACAAGAGTAGTGGCATCGCGGAAACTAACCTCTCGATGCTCTTGGCTCGGCAGATTTGTGTCGCGCGTGCTGTCGTCAAACTGAAACATCGGAGGACTCAGCTTCTGATCACGAATTTCGGCGGCCAGTACCAACACTTAGCAAAGCGAACAGCAATCGCGAACTTTGAAGCCATCGATGACGCAGAATGTTCCACTATCGCTCCGATTGCCACTGCTGCCGAAGGTAACACTGATATAGCCAGCACGGTTGACGTGAATTGCCAGCTATCCTGTGCGCAGCAACAGCAGATACGCATGATTTTACGTACGTATAGTGATTGCTTTGCGTCCACCTCCAAAATCAAGCAGACCCCAACCGTGAAGCACCGCATTATAAAGGACCCTACCGAACGGCCTGTACGACAGCACGCCTACCGCGTGTCGCAGAAAGAACAAGAGGCAATACGTTTTCAAGTGAAACAGATGCTCGACGACGACGTCATCCAATCCTCGAACAGTCCATGGGCGTCACCCGTCGTACTTGTTAAAAAGAAAGACGGCACTCTTCGATTTTGCGTCGATTACCGGAAGCTCAACAAAGTGACGAAGAGAGACGTCTACCCTCTCCCACGCATAGATGACTCACTGGATCGACTTCGACATGCCCGATATTTTTCCTCAATGGATTTACGCAGCGGCTACTGGCAGATCGAGGTCGATGAACGTGACAGGGAAAAAACAGCATTCATAACTCCCGATGGCCTCTATGAATTCAAAGTGTTACCATTTGGATTGTGCTCTGCACCGGCAACGTTCCAAAGGATGATGGACACCGTCCTGTCCTGTCTAAAGTGGGAATCCTGCCTCGTGTATTTAGACGACGTCGTTGTTTTTTCCAAAACATTTGAGCAACATTTACAACGACTTCAGTCCGTCTTCGTCGCTATTCGATCTGCAGGCCTATCTCTAAAACCGGAGAAGTGTCATTTCGGCTACGAAGAACTAAAGTTCCTCGGCCACCTTATCAGTCACGATGGCATTAGACCAGACCCAGAAAAGACCATGGCTGTTGCTGCATTTCCTCCACCTTCGAACAAACGGGATTTGCGCCGGTTTTTGGGTCTCTGCGCCTACTACAGGCGCTTTGTCCAGAGCTTTGCCAACATCGCTGAACCCCTTACCCGTTTAACGAAGGAGGATACTCCTTTCGTGTGGGGTCCAGAGCAGAGAGCCGCTTTTTCCCAGCTTCAGCAGTGCCTTCAGAGTGAACCCTTACTAGGGCACTTTGATGAAGATGCCATCACCGAACTTCACACTGACGCAAGCAACATCGGTCTTGGTGCAGTACTCGTCCAGTGGCAAGACGGCGCTGAACGTCCCATCGCTTATGCTAGCCGCATTTTGTCATCTGCGGAAACTAACTACTCGACCACGGAGAAGGAATGTCTTGCTGTTATTTGGGCGATAACAAAGTTCCGACCGTATCTGTATGGCCGTCCATTCAGAGTAGTTACGGACCATCATGCCCTCTGTTGGCTGGCCAATCTCAAGGACCTTTCAGGGCGCCTCGCGAGATAGAGCTTACGCCTTCAAGAATTTGAGGTTACAGTCGTCTACAAGTCAGGCCGCAAGCACACTGATGCTGATTGCCTTTCGCGCGCACCCCTCGCGACGACATCGAGGAACGATGATACCGATGGCCATTTTCTTTGTGCAGTCAGTGAATCTGACTTGGCCCAACAACAGTGGAATGATTCAGAGATCCAACAACTTATCAAATACCTTCAAGGTCGCAGCTCGAATCCACCATCGGCATTTGCACGTTCAGGGTCATTTTGTCTCCGCAACGACATCGTCTACAAAAAGAACTTCGAACCTTATGCGACTGAGTACCTCCTCGTCGTTCCACCAGGGCTACGTGCTGACATTTTATCTGCCTGCCACGACGAGCCTTCCTCCGGCCACCTAGGATTCGCACGTACCCTTGCCCGGATTCGGACTCGCTACTACTGGCCAAAGCTCACCCAGGATGTCAAGCATTACGTTAAAACATGCAATCATTGCCAGCGCCGTAAAGCCCCACCTGTGCGCCCTGCTGGTTTATTACATCCTATTGCACCCCCGTCACAACCGTTTGAACGAATCGGCATGGACTTGCTTGGGCCCTTCCCGAAGTCACATGATGGCAACCGCTGGATCGTAGTCGCTACTGACTATTTAACGAGGTACTGCGAAACGAAAGCCCTACAACGAGGCACCGCCAATGAGGTTGCGTATTTTTTTATCAACAACATCGTCCTCCGCCATGGAGCGCCAACAGTTCTTATCACTGACCGTGGAACAGCCTTTACAGCCCAATTGATGCAAGACGTTACGAGACTTAGTGGAACAGCTCATCGCAAAACAACCACATACCATCCACAATCCAACGGTCTGACGGAGAGATTAAACAAGACGCTCGCTGACATGCTATCTATGTACGTCGACCGTAATCACAAGAACTGGGATGCAATTTTGCCATACGTAACGTTCGCTTACAACACTGCGGTTCAAGAGACTACGGGTTTCACTCCATTCCGGTTGCTTCACGGCCGAGAAGCAATTACGATGCTTGATGCCATGCTGTTGCCTGACACGACCGATATTACTACTGATGCGAACGACTTTCTCCGGCTCGCCGACGCGGCCCGCCAGCTTGCACTCAAGCGGATCCGAAAACAACAACGAATCGACTCGCAAAGGTACAACTCACGTCATCGCCATGTCATTTACCAACCCGGTGATCTGGTCTGGCTGTGGATCCCCGTTCGCAAAAGGGGCCACTCGGAAAAGTTACTTCACCGCTACTTCGGTCCCTATAGAGTACTACGGCGCCTCACAGATGTCAACTACGAAATTCTGCTTGAAGACACAGCTCAGCGATCTCGATGTTCCCAGCAGCCCGATATTGTTCATGTGTCACGGATGAAGCCACACTACCCCCGAGCCACCTGACACTGCTTCTTCACGCGTCTTTGTGCGTGTACGCGACTACTTTAACTTTTAATCGGCATTGGTCATCGGGGTGGTACTTTTTTTTCGAAGGGGGGGTGATGCCACAGGCATGGAACGAGGTTTAGCCACGCCAATGCGAGTATGTGCCATGGTGTGAAAGAAGAAGAGGACGGTTGGTGTGTGCTCGTGCTCTAACGTTCGGTTCGGCTCGACGTCCAGTGCTGCTCCTGTGAACAGACGTTGTGGTCGTTCTGTGATCACGTGACAATAGCAACAAAAGTGCAGAGAAAAAAAAAATTAAAGGGGACACAACACTGGGCAGTGAAAATACCACAAGCAGCATTTGAGTTGCTTGACTATTGCCTTAGTAGTGATTGCTGCGGTTTGTTCCTTTTCGATCACTGTCACTTCTTGCATTGTTTCACTTGCCTAATGAGTTGCATGTCTCGTATTCATTATTTGTTCAGTGTTTAAAGTGACACTGCTGCTTAATATGTTTTCCAATCATAAATTTAGGCTTCAATCATGATTTTCATACACACTGGTTTTGTTTTCATTTTAATGTCAGACTAAACACGTCAGCGGTCACGCAAAATTTGTATAACTGCTAGTGCTGTGCAAGTATGTAACACTTAAGGAAATCTGTACCTTCTTTGGCTTCATTATCTGCTTGTTTCACAAAAGCAGTGTCAAGCAAAGAAATGGGCTTTCAAAATTTTTCTTTCCTTTGTTCGTAGCAAGGGTCTTGTTCTCGCAAACTTGATGCCTTCAGGTAGTGTGCAAGGGCTTATTGGTCAGCCGTCTGCTCACTAAAATATCACACACTAGGTGATGCCAGCAGCGAAAAAATAGTGTTCCACACTTGCCGTCATCGCGGCACGTGGCGCTGACCAACACTCCCAGGTTTGAGTCTATATAAGTGCCTCATTAAGTGAATAAAGGAACAACTGCTCTTGCAGCTCAGTTGGTGAGACTGTCAGGCACGTAATCCGAAGGTGGCAGGTTTGATCCGAACCAGCGCCAAATTGTCTTTTTGTCCACGTTACTTGCTTCACATCTATACTGCAATTACTACTATACTACACGTTAAACAGTACCATTAACGTCCCTCACACCTTCTTTAGATTCATTATCTGCTATTTTTCATTAAGGTTATGTTATACAGTGAATTTTGTCCTTTGCTTCTCTTGCAGACACGCGTCCTAAAGAACGACATTGCCCGTTACAACTCCATGGAGAGCAAGGCCGAAATGGACGTGGAGGAGTATGGCTGGAAGATCATCCACGCCGATGTTTTCAGGTTTCCGCCTTACAAGAACCTCCTCTGTGCCATTCTGGGTAGGTTCATCCAGTCTAGTTCTATTATCTCCTCACTAATCAAACAAACACTATTCACAACTGTGCCAGGGTCTTTGAAAGGGCCTGGCTACACTTTTTTAAGTAATCATCGAACAACCTCAATTTTAGAGTTTAGTGCCTCACAAATGGACTCCCATGAAAATTTTTAGCATTCCTGCAGTACGAGTGAAGTTTCACGAATTTGTCGCACTTTTCAAGTGCCTTCTCTCTTTCATCCCATAGAGCATGGTCAAAGCTACAGAGGGTAGGATCACAGAAGGGCAAAGGAGCAGCACATGTCATGACCTCCACCTCTTTGTTTTTTTTTTTTAATGCATAGCTGAATTTCAGTTAAATCACGAGTGCAGTGGTCTAATTCTTTGTTATGCGTAATTCTAGCATAATAGGTGACAAAAAAATTCCGCCATATCCACGAAGTGAATTATGATGAGTGGGCGAAGCTCCGGAGGTAAACCTGGTAAACCATGAATCCTCTGTACATTTTGCCCACTCGATTTTATTACATCGCTCCCTCTAGCGTACGTCGCCGCACTAAATCGAACGATTGCCTTCAACCAATGACACGCGCCATATGTGACATCATTCCTATTTTATAAGATCTCGCGTCTTTCATCAACTACAAGTACCGCTTTCTAGTTTATAACATCTTGCATCTTTTCATCATCAGCTACAAGTACCACCATCTAGTAAACACTACAAGAACTAAACGAGAGGTGGCTACATACAGGAGACGGTACCGCCATCTAGTGAACACTGCAAGAACTAAACTAGAGGTGGTTACATACAGGGGACGGTACCGCCATCTAGTGAACACTGCAAGAACTAAACTAGAGGTGGCTACATACAGGCTACAGGGGACGCACAGCCCACGCCCTAAGGAGCTTCGCCCCTAAAAGACTGCGGATATTCGCTACAGTGCCGGCAGCCCAGCTAAATGTAGTGGAAAAAAAAAAATGTCACAGCTTTGCCAGAGAGGCGAAGCAATGAACGCGATAGCAACGAATTGAAAGGTCACGCGCAGAATTGAAAGCAGATCCAAACATGCCCCGCACTCCTCACGCACAAAACGTACTCACAGGTACGGGTGAACGCGAATAAGCGTCTCATTTGTTACTTTGCTGTGTCTGAAAAGCGCGCGCTTTTCGCAAACGGAGACTGCAATGATTGCAGTGACCTTTGTGAACCAGGTAACTACAGCAGAATCGTTCCAGGTAAAACCAGAGGCCAGCCAAGGCATACGACCTTCCCCTCCTCGCCGCCACAAGATAAATGCTCCCTCACGCACCTGTATCTCATTGGGCGAAGTACGTGTAGGAAATTAGAGCGGGCGCCGCCACACGATGTGGCGATGCGCGCTCTTTGCGCCATTTTGCTGGTAAGGCTGAAAACACAATTCCCTCCGAAATACTCGTGAGCAGCGGTAAGCGGTAGATATAAGTAGCCTGCCGTTTAAACGGTGAAGGAAGTTCTCCGGGGTGGCTCAGTGGTTAACGCCTCACATTCACTACGTAGAGGTCTCACGTTCGATTCCGCGTGCGGGAGTGGTTTTTTCTGGGTTTTTTTCTTTATTGCGTTTTTATATATATATAGATACGTATACATATACGGTGCATGACATCGACGCCGACGCCGGCGGCAAAATCCAGCCGAAGGTGTCCATATAATTGCTATCGCAGTAAAAATCATGGCATATCCACAGAGTCAATGATGATGAGTGGGGCGAAGCATCTGTCTGTCTATCTCTGTCTGTGTGCTTGTCTGATACTGCCGGTTACGCCTGACTCAGGACAAGGTTAGACTAGGAGGTGGTATATTCCTAAATAACTATTATGAGATTGCACACCTCTACACGCCCCCTTCACGCTGCCTTGACTTTCAGTCAACTTTCCATGCACTGCACAAGCTTTCACAAATTCTTTCAGTGTGCGGCTGAGGATTTTTGGCACCAAGGACTTCTTTAGTGGCTGCAATGGGATGAAAGAGTTCTGTTCAAAACTTTAGGAGCTGCAGAGCAAGTATTAGCAGACAATATTGTCTTCGTCAGGGCGAGGTGGGCTTTTCAGTTTCCAAGGAATATATATATATTGCTACAAATCTGTGTTGCCTCTTGGTGAGCGCACTTTGTCATTGGCTTTGTGTAATTATACAAAATGCATCATCACACAGCACAAATATGACTGTGTACATACCTTTCGCTAGTATGTTCCCCAAAATATGTAATAGTGGCAGCAGTGTAAATACAGGGTGTCATGTAGTCAACCGACATAATTTATCTAGACATATTATATTATATACAAAAGCAGGGAAATAAAAAATAAGTTAGTATTTATGACTAGGCCCAATTATGCCGTTTATTTACCACCTATCACAAGGTCATTTTTTGATAACTACATTTGTAGGAGACCTCTCTTTGCATCAATGCATTGTTGCAAACACTTCTTGAGGCTGCGCACGCACCTCCATAGTTCCTCATGAATGCGTGCAACTTCGTCACCAATGGCTTACTAGAGGCCTTGAATATCCATGATGCACCTCTGAAACGCACTTTCTTTAAGGAATCCCCACAGGAAAAAATCTGGTACGTTCCTTAGGTGATCAAGCTGGCTAATCGACTTTGCAAGAACGTGAAATAACAGTGCCGACTGTTTTACAAACTAATTTTCGCCTTGAAATATTGCAGCAACACACATCATAAAATAATGTAACGCCCCCACCACCTCCACACGGCTATTTTCCTTCCCGCCAACCATTGCAAGCTGTCGTGTGTAAGTTGACTGTGCTAGATTGTGTATAACTTCATTAGTTTTAACAGCAAAACTGTTTAGGCTAGCCGTATTTTGTGCAGCCTATTGGGTAAAAGCCACTGTGCGACCTGTCACAAAAGCTGTCCTAAATGCGTGTATGTGCCACAGAAATTAACTGGTTCCCACTACACAGCTCTGGTCCACTAAAAATGAAGGCAACAGTGAGCCGAGCAAACGGGTTTATGCTGCTGTGCTGCTTATGAAAAAAGTGTCATCGTCCTAAATAGGTACGTTCCACAGCAATTGGGTAAATCTCGCTATTCACTACTTCCACTAGAAAGAAAAGATGACAGTAGTCATCTTTTCCCCCACTGTGCTGCGACGGTGGGTAGCGGAATACCAGGTCGCGTTTAACAAGAGAATACAGTGGACTCCCAATGAACGAAACTCACTTAAACGAAAATGCCTCATTAACGAAACTGAATGGGCTCATACGGCTGGATTTCTATGTGTTGCATAGTCAAATTCATCGGTTAATCGAAACAGTGCTTACTGGTCACCTACGGTTAAACGGCACAAACTCTAAACACAGCATAGACTGTCTCAGGCCAAAGGTAGTCTCACAACCATGGCAACACTTGGAGACAAGCTAATCCAGTAGCCAGTCTCGCTTGTGGTGTCTGTGGGAGTATAGTGCCTAGAATATACTTACTAGTGTGCCAATTGCCGAGCGTTTCCAATGGGAGAGGCTGGCACTGCCGATGATGCCTTCCTCCGGAGGCCACCAGACCGCGACACCATTAGGAACCATGCTACCTGAGTGGCGGGGCGCACCGAGAGCGCACGTTGTATGCGCGTCTCTCGCTCTTTGCATGTACTTCCGATTCGCGTCTATAAACCCAGTCGGTTGCTTTGCTGTTGCGGGGCATTTTGGATGTTGAACAGGCAGGTAGCGCATTCTTCCACATGGCATTGCCGTGTTTTTTTTCTGTGCGCGTTGTTCACCCTTGCGTCTCTTCACGAAACCGAGATGTCGTCGCAGAAAAGGAGGCATAAAGACAGCACCTGTTTTTTTTTTTTTCCACCCCTAGAACTAGCGGGTCTGATTATTCAGCGCCGCTGCAGACCCAGAACACTTAGCCGCGTGGGAGAAAACCATAGATTTATAGAATCGTAACTCCGGCGGCTGTCGTTTGTGACAAACATTTTAATAATCGCTACATTGAGTGCTCATACGAAATTACAATCGATCGTATCATCAGTGAAATTCCCCGTGAAAAACTCAAACCGAAATTTCTATCTTTCATTTTATTTGCAACTCTCTCGATTTCTTTTCATGGCGACGATGATTTCTCGCTTAAATCGGCGTCACTGACACCAGCATTTCTACAAAATGAGCTCTTTGCAGCTTCTGCATTATTAGTCTTTTTTTTTTTTGTTGCACCACTCGACAATGTCCGCATCCGTACCGGGTGTTTCAATAAATGTGTCCAAAATTCTCAAAGATGAAACACTAGGAATATGTGAGTTATGAAATTAGAATGTTTAATGAGTTCAGCCAGCCTCAACATCATTAGAGAATTGAAGCTCATGCGAGGAACTCATCCTATCTTTGAGCAATAGAAAAATTGGCTTAAAGTAAATGTGATGGCATAATTAAATTAACCAAATGCCACGAGTTTCACTGTTGAATTTTGTTGAGCTATATTGCAGTTGACTTTTTCCTTCGAAGCCATGCATATTCATTTATTTATTATTAATGTTTTATCATACACTCGATAATGTGTACCGTATTAATGATAATGGGGCATACGTACGTTTGTAAGTGCAACGAAAAAGATTGCTTTAATTACGCATTGCCTCCCAACCTGCGTTCTACAGTTCTAAGTGGGCTGGGAGAGGCCACCGGCCCCTGTCGCACGCGCGCGTTGGCAGAGAGGCGGTTGTGGTAGAAATGCCGCCGACAACACTCCGCTCGGGCTTAGGTTTGGGCCGCTCGGCCATTGGCTCGGCATAGCACGGTCCCTGCGGCTATCGCCGTCTGGTGGCCGCCGGTGGAAGGCATCATTCTTCGTGCCACTGCGACGGCCGTGGTCGGTACACTAGTAAGTATATTCTAGGCACTATAGTGGGAGCCGAATCGGTGAGTCAGTTGTATGTTAGGCCTAGTTGTGCGGCTAAGCGAGGTAAATCACGGTGTAGCCTGATGGAAAGAAGCAACCGCACCATGCACTC